TACTATAGCTACATTTCCCTCTTAGCAAATTGGAAGTGCTTTATGTAATCCCTCAATTTGAGGCTTTTGTAATTTCATACATCAATGAAATTGTTTCTTACAAAAAAAAAGTACCCCCATTCCAAAAAAAATCCTGTGTAAGCTTCTCTATCTCGTTGACAACTCTCGTTGGGGCTTTTAGGACTGAGAAAAAGTAGAGAGGAAGACTAGTAATCACTGATTGCGCGAGTGTAAGCCGGCCTCCCTTTGAGAGATAAAGATTCTTCCACTTGTCAATCTTTTTTCTAACTCTGTCAATCAGAGGCTCCCAAAAAGATTTCTTCTTATAATTGCCCCCCAAAGGAATTCCCAAGTAGGGAAAGGGAAGCCTTTCCACTTTACATCCCATTTTTCTGGCAGTAGTCTGAAGCAAGTCTTCTTCTACATGAATTCCAATGATGGCCGTTTTCTTTAAATTCAAAGACAGCCCGGAAGCTTGTAGAAAAATGTCTAGGATCATCCACCAATTTTCCAACATACCTGTCTTATTTGGGCAGAAAATCATAGTGTCGTCAGCATACTGCACTATCAATTTTCTCCGTATAAACGCTCATAGAACCCAACTATCTCTTGCACAATTTCTTTTTCTGAGGTGAGTATGTCTGCATTATCTTTTTCCAGCAATGAGATAATGGTTTTAGATTTCCTAGCCGAAGACCATCTGTGGAAAAAATTTGGAGTTCTCATCCCCCTCTTTTAGCCACTCTAACTTACACTTTTGAGCCCACTTTCTCTGTTCTTTGATGGTCAGCTCGAAATACGTCTTCTTGAGCTCCTCTCTTTCAATTTTCTCTACCTCAGTGAGGATCCTCCCCTCCTCAAGTTTGTCAAAATTTTCAATTTTTCTTTCACAGTTTTTTAAGTCATTTTCAACCACCCCAAACGTCTCCTTATTCCACTTTCTCAACAAAATTTTGATTTCTTTCAGCTTTTTCATGAAAGCATAACCTGGCCAACCAACAGAAGGGATGGACTTCCACCATGACTCCAAATTTTCCTTAAAAGAGGGGTGATCCAACCACATGTTTTCAAAGCGGAAGGGGGAAGGACCCCATTTTGATTACCTAGTCTCAGGTGAAGGGGAAAGTGGTCCGAGGTAATTCGAGGGAGCCGAAGTAATTCAACTTCTTTAAAATCTTCTACCAAAGTCTTAGAAAGCAGAAATCTGTCAATGCGAGTAGCCACCGGCCTGTCTCTACCATCTGACCAAGTGAAAGCTCCATTCTTCATGGGAATGTCAATCAAATTCAGTTCATCAATCAAAAGATTGAAATTTTTCATACTTTTCGTGACTCTGCCCCCCTTTGATTTCTCCTCAGGGCTTCTCACCACATTAAAATCACCCCCCACACACCAACGATCCGCACAAAGGCCTAAATAAAAAATCTCTTGCCAAAAGTCGTCTCTGCCTCTATAAGTTGCGGGCCCATAAACACCTGTGATCCATCCGTGAAAGCTATCTTTAAAAATAAATCGAATGGAAACAGAGAACTTACCTAAAACCGACTCCACCACCTGGACCGAGTTTTGGTTCCACATTATGATCACACCTCCCGCCGAGCCTCCAGATTCTAACTCGGACCAGCCTATGTGTTTCGAGCTCCAAATAAACTTCACTAACCTTCTGTCTACCGCTTGAAGTTTCGATTCTTGTAACATCACCACATCAGGGTTGTAATTGACTATGAGAGACTTAACCAACGCTCTTTTGGAGGAAGTGCCCAGACCTCTTACATTCCAAGAGATTAAGTTCATTAAGCAACCAACAGTCATCTTCTATCTCTTCTGCGTTTAAATCTTTCTCCATGGCCCTCAAGAGGTTCGTGATCTCTCTGGATTTCTTTTTTGCTGCCGCACTACCCTTAGTGGAAATCGGCCTAATGCACAACTTGCACTTCCAGAGGGAGCGGACTAATTTTTTGGAGAAAGGAAAGTGATCTGACACATCCTCCTCCTCGTCGGAATCTTCCTCCTCAAAATCCTGTTTTGGATGACCCCTGCTTTTCTGCTCTAGACTCATAATCGTGTTGCAGCCCTCCCCATCCTTTTCCAAAGGTCCCTCTTTTTCTGCAGCTAAGACCCTACAGTTCTGATTTTCCTCTCCCTGAAAACAGGCAAAATAGCCATCGGGGATATCGTCTTGAGACTCCCTTAAGGGAGTTGCCTCCACAGCCTCCTCTTCCTCACTGCTTAAGCTAAAAACTGAAGAATCTGACCAGTCCTCTCTCCTACTGACTATATGCATCTTTTCACTTTCTTTTTCAACTGGTGGGTCCGTGGAAAGGACTTTTCCTTTCTTAGATGAGCCTCATGAATAGGTCATCTTTTAGTTGATTTGCCTTGCGTTTTTAAGGTTGTTCTTGATACGGAATCCTATAAAATACGGAATCCTATAAAAAAGCTAACCAATCATTGATATTGATAGTAATTGCTCTCGAGGGCTCAATGAGAAGGGAAGGGGAGGGGTTGTATGAATCCCGTAGGGTCTATTTGGTAGAGAATTCAGATACTGTTTCTTGTTTTCGGATTCACTGAATTAAATGGATTTCGTGAATACTGTTTCTGAAAACTGTTTTCGGATTCTATAATCCAAATAGTGGAAATTCTGGAAACAATTTTGTTTTATGTTTTAGTGTTTCAGATTTTGAATTCAAAAATTTAAAATTTAGAATTATATTTAAAAAGATAAAAAATCTTGATAAATACACTATTTCATGTTATAAACTTATTTTCTTTTTTTGTTAAAATTAAAACATTTAAAATATAATATACTATAAATTATATAATATTGTAAAATACTAATTCTATCAAATTTTATAACACGTAGGTTAATAAATTAATTAATAATATTTTAGATTAAACTAAATATTTAGTAGGTAACCAATGGCTTACAAGTATTTACAAAACACCTTGATTTTTTTTTTTTTAAATTTAGATTCAATTTTCATCTCTGCTACCCTCAACCTTAAAGCTAAAGAGGAGGATTTTAGAAAACCATCTCTGTGCTTATCTATATCTGCCCAAGGTCTTCCTCTACAACTTCCAGCCACTGGCTTAGCCCTTAGGAATCCAACCCAGAGGGTTGAGCTCATAAATGGCTGCAACCACCTTCCTCCAAAGGAAAATATGTTGATTTTTTATTTCTCTCCAACTAGACAGTAGATCTCCCTTAGAAGCTTTTGTAGCATTTATCTAAAACTCTGGGCTTCCCCTTAGAATCAATATGCGAAAAGACTTCAAGATATTCTGCTGGGTAGATTTGATTTTTAGGTGAAAAAAATGGTCTTATTGATGAAGGAAATAATTGTACAAAACGCCAAGGAGTTACATGGAGGCTTTCTCAAATATTCAGTTTCAAGGGGTGATCGATTAGAGTGGTATCTACACTCAATACCAAGGATTTATGGAGATTTGTTTTTAAATCAGAGGCAATCTTGAAGGTTTTGACCAGAAATTTAAGGTTTTTAAGCTTAGCTTCATCCAATGTCAAAAAGAGGAGGATATCATTTGCAAAAAGATGTGTAATATGCAAGTTGTTGTCCGGAGCTAGATATACTTCTGTGAAACCTTGATTTGCAGCTTTCACCAGGAGACGACTAAAATAATCCATGGTAATTACAAATAAGTAGGGGGTAAGAGAGTTCCCTGTCTAGTTCCCACTTTGCCTTAATTTTGCCTCTCGGTTTGCCATCAACAAGAATTATTTAAGTCAGCATAGGTTTGCAACTGCAAATGCAATTGATGCCTGGTACATTTGTGGAATACCTCAGATAATGCAGTCACTAATATAAAACTGTATCAATTCCTTCTTAATTTTATCTTGCTTTTTTTACGATCGTAAATTTTACTATCCAAACTTATCTTCCGATTTGAGTTATCAAAACGGTTGTGCTTATTTGATGAAACCATGGTCAAGAGTTTATGTCATTCTATAGTCAACGAGACTTTGCCTCATGAACTTAATTGATTATACATAATTGGTATGATGACTTCAAATTTTCCTATTACTGCAGCATGTTACTCGCTACTCAAGAAAATCCTTACGAGTTCTTGGAAGTGTGGGCGAGCCGATCAATCCCAGTGCATGGAGGTTTGAATATTCACGATGTTATCTTAATATTTCAAGCTTATTAAAAAAAAAATCGTCATCATAAGTCTTAATTTTCTTTCAATTAAAAGATGTATGTAAAATGCATATTGATTTCTTATAGGTGGTTTTTCAACGTGGTTGGAGAGTCAAGGTGTCCTATATCAGACACTTGGTGGCAAACTGAAACTGGTGGCTTCATGGTATTTTGGTTTAATTTATTTTCCTTTGGGAGAAATAGGACATAAATAAGGTGTTTCCTATAAAGCCTATATGTTTCTTAGGTTTTGTTATGGACGTACAAAACCCATGTTTAGCTTTTAACTTTTAAGAACCCAGTTAATAATTAATTATGAACATAAGTAATGAACCCGGTTAATGCCACTAGTTAATATTTACTTTCCAGTAATATTTTAATATCAATTTCAAATATTTGTATTTATTAAGTAATACGAATTTAAATCAATAAATAAACATTTATTTTTTGAGAAAGAAACAAAACACCTTTCATTTGAAAATGAAGGAATACAAAAAGAGGATTGGGCATCCTCGAGGTGCCAAGATAGCTTACATAAACACACTCCAATTGGCATCAATATCTATAAAGAAAGATTTTACAAGAGTTTAGAGAGAGAACTCCACTTTGACGCTAGGCCAATTACTCTTTCCCAGAATATATAGTTATCCACAAAATTATCCACAGAACCCAAAGCCCACCTTGACCAACGGAAGAGTGACTATTTTCCAATTAACTATCATGGGCTTTCTCAGCAATATAACTAGTTACTGACTTAACAGTTATGTTAATATCTAAGTGCTGACTAGTAGATACTAGTATGTCACGTATAGAGATTAAGCTACAAAAACCTTGTAGCGATGGTTCAAATGAATACACATATGGATGAAAGGATTGAGAGAGGCGCATATATGCTTACATGCATTTTGTAATAACATTAAGGCCTCTTTGGAATAGAGAATTTGGTAACTATTCCCTTTAACTATTTTTAATGGAAAAATATTTTTGTAATCTCCATCAGCACATGTCTGTGGGTATTCCTCATTTTCATGATGTGTTTTTGTTATCTCTAACATGAATAAACATATACTTTGTTTCATATCCATTATTTAAAGGAAAATAAAAGAAAGGAATATTTCAGTGACATAATAAAAATTCAACAATTTGGGATATTTTATTCCAAGTATCAAGCACGTCATAGCTCTTTCCCTAAAATGTGCGTAGCTTTTTTTACTGCACTTTTGTTCATTTAGAACAATTCTCATGGCATGTATATGACGTTCCATTTTGTCTTTAAGGAGTAACCATAAATTTTGTTTGGCAGATTACTCCGTTACCAGGTGCATGGCCTCAGAAGCCTGGTTCTGCAACTTTTCCCTTTTTCGGAGTCCAGGTACTTGAAGATACTTTAGAAGATAAAATAATCTACCTTTTTTCATTCTTATTTCTACCCAACAAACTTTCATTCTTGCTTCATCATGTTTTCTTGGTGCAAATGTAGCCTGTCCTGGTGGATGAAAAAGGGAATGAGATTGAAGGTGAATGCAGTGGTTATCTATGCTTGAAAAGCTCATGGCCTGCAGCATTTAGAACTCTTTATAATGATCAAGAAAGATATGAAATGACTTACTTCAAGCCATTCCCTGGTTATTACTTTACTGGTGATGGCTGCACCAGGTAAATCAAGGTGCTTGATCTCATGTCTGTCATGCAACCGATCAATGCATCCTAGAATTTGATATTGGTCATATTTAAGAATAAACTTGTTTAGTATTATAACTGTACTAAAGTATGGACTCTATCTTCAAGGGATAAGGATGGATACTACTGGCTTACTGGAAGAGTTGATGATGTTATCAATGTCAGGTTTGTTAGTGTTTCTCCTTTATGCTCCAAAGATATGCATAATCCATATGATTACATCTATACATCTCTGTGGTACAAAACCTATTCTCTGTGTCAGTTAGCATTGTCTCTTCTGAAGAAAGCTGCATTTTTTATATGGGCATTATTTATTGCAGTGGGCATCGTATTGGCACAGCAGAAGTGGAATCTGCCCTAGTTTCGCATCCCCATTGTGCAGAAGCTGCTGTAGTTGGTATTGAACACGAGGTAGGTTTGCTGGTTATAATTTGTTAGTTTCTGAGTTTGTTATAATTTGTTAGTTTCTGAGTTTATGAGCATTCCTGATGAATGTAACCTACGGATTTGGTCAACTTGAACATAGCTAAGGCATATATCCTCGATCAATTTGAATTCTCATCCCCACATGTCGTTGAACTAAAAACAAAAGCCCATGGATGTGAAAATTTTCTTTTATCTATTTGGTCCATATACTTTGGCCAGATGATCTTACTTTTTACGCCGCAGGTCAAAGGACAAGGTATTTATGCATTTGTGACTCTAGTGGATGGTGTTTCTTATAGCGAGGAGCTCCGGAAAAGCCTTATTCTCACAGTTAGAAAGCAGGTCAGTGTTATTATCCGTACAATTGTTCTCAAGCTAATGGCATATTCCAAGATATTTCAGTCCATAGTGTCAGTTGCCTCTACTGTATTATGGTCTTCTGGAAATTCCTAAATATTCCCTCTAAAATAACTTTGTTTAAATTGTATCCCTTGATTTTCATTATTGTTACGTTTTTATAATGCTAGTTAAAGATAAATGTGAAGTATCTATAAGAAATCCTTAAAATAGCATGACAATGGTCCTCAAGAAACGGACTGTCTCCAAAGATGCTAATTACCCTTTTATCAAAAAAAACAAAATTTGATGTTTCTTGGAGATTCAATAGTTTGAGGCTACCCTTAAAAGAGAAGTTAACAGCCCCAAGCGTGAGTATTGGTCCCCAAGAACTATATACAATCTATTGGAAGAATGCGAAGTTAGTATCTTAGAAAAATCAAGCAAGTATTATCTTCCATTTCTTACCATCTGTCATGTTACTTGATATAAAAAATGACAGTGTATTGGATATGAAGAACTATTTATTACTTTGGCGAGTAAGGTCATTATCTAGTCAATAGTTTGGGACCTAAAAAACATCCACTCGTGAGGTGCTGAGTTAATTGGAAATTTGATTCACTTCTGTGAATATCCTTGATTACAAAAACAGTGCTATTTTTTACTTTGGAAAGACATATTTCTTTAAGAGAAATTGTCAATAAAATAGTTTCTTATTTAGAAGAAGAAGAAGGAGAAATGATATTATTTAACAACAGACTTTGATTACTAACTGTCATCTAATTAACCAGGTGGTGATTGTAGGTGTAAATTGGAACCAACAACTAACTGGCTAACTAACTCATAGATTATTAACAGATCACTTAGCTGTCATTCATAATAGGAAATTTTATTTACTTCTGTGATTATCCTTGATTACAAAATAAAAGTGCTATTTTTTACTTTGGAAGGACATCTTTCATGAATAGAAAATGTCAATAAAATAGTTTCTTGTTTAAAAGAAGAATAAGAAGAATTTCGATTTCAAATCAAGCTTAGAAAAAGACTTTTATCCTGAATTTCTTTCCTTTTCATCTATCAATGATAAGTTGTTTCTTTTTAAAATAAAACATAAAAATCAAGCTTAGAAAAAGACTTGAAGAGAATGCTTTCTTCTCTCTCCTTTTCTAAGGTTTCATGCTATCTCATCAAGGTTGATTCAAATTAGGTAAGTTCAAGTTGGTTTCAAGATTAGTTTCTTTTGGATTCTTTCTGTACATCATGGAACTTAATAGTTGTTGGCAATGGAGAAGACCTTTCAACTTCTCGAAATTGAAAATCCAACCAATAAGAAATAATTTCTGCAGAAACCACCAATAAAGACGAGCATAAATGTTGGCAATGGGAAACCATGAGGAAGCATGCAAAGGACTTTGATATGACCAAAAAGATTTAAAGTAAAGAGGCTGCATGGAGACTCTTCGTTCCCCTAGAATCCACCAATAATGATCCACCTTGAAAACCCAAAAACAAGAAGCATCGAAGACTTTAATTAAAAGGCTGCTTTGAGACTTTTGCGTTTTCCCATGAAACCATCAATAATATACCAACTTGAAAGCAAAAAACGAGAAGCAATAAATATTATCCTTCATGCACTTAACAAGTCATCTTGAGAACCAAATGGAAATAAAAGACCTTGAAAAGCTGCTGCCTAAAAAAAAGTCTGCATTTAAAGAGTGCATTGGTTGAGACTTTTCGAAGCCCCACAAATCCAGCATTGAAGAACCACCTTGAAAGCCAACCCGAGAAGCAATAAAGACTGACTTTCGTGCGCTTACCAAAGCAACTTGAGAACCGAAATGAATTAAATGACCTCAAAAACTGCTGCCCAAATAATATCAGCCAATCAGACAAGGGGAGACAGAGCCATCCTTTGTAACACTAAAAACTCTCAACCAAACTCTTTTTCGCTCCTTCTGGGAGTTTGTATCCTTGAACATTGTTCTTCCTTTTCATAATATCAATGAAAAGTTTGTTTCTTGTTAAAAAAAAAAATCTGAATTACTAACAAACAAACCAACCAAGCTCCAACCAAACAAGCAAAAAGAGAAAACAAACTAACCTTGCTGCACTAAAAAAACGTTTAAGAATGGCATTTATCTTCTCAAACGTCTTGAGAATCGGGAGGCCTATCAATTGGAACGAGAGTTATCCTCATTTCTTCAAAAAAAAAAAAAAAAAGGAAGGAATGCTTGATTGCTTTAAAAGATCTGGGTTCTCATCTTCTTTTTGCTCTTCTAAGAGAATCTTGAAGTCTTCTGAAAAAGAATGTTCACTAAAATCGGATTTTGGGGAGGAATCCAAGCTACTTATGCTTGATTGCTTTGAGCAAATTGCATTTCCAATTTGTATTTTTTATTTGAAAACTTAGGAGATTATTCTTAGGACTCATCAGCTTCTTTATTAAAGCATGTAATCAAATCTACTTGAGGAATCTCAGATAACTGCACCTTCTCAACAACATTAACTCCTTTTGAATTGACAAATCGTCTGGTGTAATAATAAGGAAGGGGTGAGATAAGACGCTTGGATTTCTTAGGGTTTAGAGAGAGAATGAACCTTTAGTCTTCCAATGGCAGAATTCAATTCTTCCTCTTCCAACCTATCTTGAACTGCTGCATTACCTACTTCATTAAGTGGAGGGGCGGCTTGGATTGCGACCTCTTCCAAGGAATTGGATAAATGTGGATATTGGGACTCCTCAACTTCAGAGCACGTCTCTTCATCTTCAATCACCATTTTGAAGCGTTTGAAGTCCAAGATATTAGAATAATCGATGGGTTTGAGAATACCGTCTTCTTCCTTCGAGGGTTCCAAAGTGCAACAATCTTTTAACTCTTACAGAGACACTACTAAAAAGAGGGTCTTTTATTCCAATCTCAGCAGGGAGAAAACCACAATAATTCTTCTTACATCTAGGCGAATCGATTCGCAATTCAACATATTCAAAGTCTAAGAGGAAAAATCAACCAAACCACCAAAATGACTACCGAGAGCTTCAAAGCAGCGACGCCTCCAGTAACTTAGAGGGAGATTTGCAATTTCAATTCATCCACCATATCCTAACATGAACTCAAGTCTGCTATGCTTAATATCAGATCACTTCTCAAATTTCACGTGAAAAGGACCAATTTTCTTCCACTTTCCTTTGACTCCCAGACCTGTAAGGACATCCTCCATTTTTAACTGAGCCTTATCAGCCATAAAAGGGTTAACCAAACAGTCAATCTCAAAATAGTTCTTCAAAGCAATAGCGATCTCATTCCAATTGTCATGCGCTTTAAGTCTAGAGATAACCATCAAAGAATTTCAATCCATTTCCACCACATCCTTTTCTTTTTTAACCCAAAATCCCTGATGAGCATCTTTTATGTTGTAGGAAGTAGCTTCTCCTACTGATTTGAGAGGTTCACGAGAATTCTTTTTGACTATAGAACTTGGGGCATCAAACTTTTGACAAGGCATCATCCTTGTTCAGTGGATGAGAGATGACATCCTTTATCATTTCCCAAATGACTAACCAACCTCTTTTCTTTTGTCCTACGGGGACCACAATCCTCCCTCTCATGTCTGATTTAGGAACCAGAATACATTCGAAACAGCAACCTTGCTTGTTAAAGCTTTTCATGATTCTACAAATACCGGCTTACCATTTGCTTGTCTGAAAAAATTAACTATCAACGGATGTTGCATCAAATCTACGATAACCTCTTCGAACCAAATTAATTGCTTCTTGTGGAGAGAAAAATGAAATTGTCGGTTATTGCAAATCTCCTCCAACTTGAAAAAACCACTTGTCAAAGAATGAATGAAAAAAGACTCGTTTGCAACTCTACACCTCCTTGAAACCATGATTCAAAAACTTCGTGAAACTAAAGTCTTCTAACATGCACTGAATCGAACTACTACGGAAAGAGAGAGAAAAGAGGAAGAGAAGAGAGAGAGAGAGAAGAGAGCATTTTCCTTTCCTGCTTCTGACATACCTCTTTCTTCTTGAAGTTTTCTGAAAGATAGATACTAGAATTCCATACTGAGAGGGAAAGAGAGACAGTTCAGGGAGCATTAGTGTGAGAAGGGGAAGAAATTGGTAGTATTACTTTCCTGAGATTAGTATCTTCTTTGATGAAAGATTTAGTGTAGGAAGAGTGTTGTTTGGAAGGACAGATGTGTGGGATCACAACCTCTTGTGCCTTCCTTTTTTAAAATCTTTGCGGTGGTCGAGAAACTAGAAAGAGATGATGAATGTTTGGAAGGAGGAAATAGCCAATTTGAATTTTGGTGTTGTGAAGATATTTAGTAGAAAATGAAAAAGGGAAGCTCCAATAGTCGTTACAACTGCTAAATGCGGTTTATGTTAATTTAAGGCCTGGTACTTGTATTCACCAGGTATGTTTTTATTCAAGTCCTTGTTTTTCCATTAACAATTGTGAGGAACTGCTGTAAGAAAATTCTGGCTTTGGCAATTTGGAGGGGTCAAGTACCAAAAAGAGTTAAATTCTTTATGTGGACTATGTGGCCAGAGGCATAAACACTGTCATTACAGATAATATTCGAATAAGGTGGTGCCTTCATATGAGTCTTCAGCCAAATTGGTATCCTTAGTAAAAGGTAAGTATTTTGAGCCTTCGTTGCCTATTGAATTGTTATTTTTTTGTATGATTAAAGACTAAGAGTGGAGACAAAAATTCTGTGGTCCAATGCAGTTCCTTATGACTTGGATGATATAGATGAAATGAAACTCTTCAATCCTCAAATGATATGGATCAAGATTGGGAGGATGTCTTCAAATTGCCGAAATTCCTTTTGGCATTCTCTTTCAAGTTTCTATTTGCTATTATACCCTTTTTGTTGCTTACTAATTAACGGGCTCTTTTGATGAGATTATGGTTGGAAAGGGCTAGGACTGAAATTGGAAAGGTATAGAGTTAAAAAGGGTTTGGTCTTTTTTGTAATTACAGGTTATTTTGGGATTTTTTTTTCCTCTATAGTACTATTCAATTTGTATCATTTTGAAAAGTTTTCTTTCTTAAGCGAAAAAGGATAAATGTGGTTTTGAATCCATATAGTCTTTTGGACCCTAACTTTCAAATCTTACCATTTATCCAATGGCTTACGAAATTATATATTTTTATTTTATGTACTTCGTGGGATATTTTCTGAGGGTCTATTGTTTCCTCCTTGTATTGTACCATTTTATTCTCAATATAACTTTTGTCTGCTTTGGATTAGGGAAAAAAAATGAAGATTTTTGTAACCTTCCCAAGTCATACCACTAATTATGAATGACAAAATGCAGAAGTAAATAGGCAGTGGAGCTTTTCCTCTTCTCTTCTGTACAGTCATACTTAAAACGTGAAATTGTTTGAGATCTGTTCTGAGATTAAATATTGCAAAATTTTCAGATAGGGGCTTTTGCAGCACCTGACAGAATCCATTGGGCACCTGGACTTCCAAAAACGAGGAGTGGAAAAATAATGAGGAGGATTCTGAGGAAAATTGCCTCCAAGCAGTTGGACGAACTTGGAGATACTAGCACGCTTGCTGATCCTGGTGTGGTTGATCAGCTCATCGAGCTTGCTGATTGCTGAAGGTCGGAATTTGTCTGAAGCAAGCTGAGTGTTTCTTGTCAGTTGAGTGAGAGCAGTGAGATGTCAAAATTTTAATTGTGTGCAAGTCCCCCCAAGTTCTGAAATAATGTTAAATCTCTCCCCAGTTGTAGGAATCTCATTTTCGATGGCGTAGGATTCATTTAGGCGATCAAAGGCAACTACTTGTTCCCTGACCTTACTGCTAGAGATGTTTGATCGTACTAATGATATGTGATTGTTCCATAAGAGTAGTTGAAGTATTGGCTCAAACACTCGTTTATAAAATAATAATAATAATAATATGAGATTTTCTTTTATGGAAAATAAGAAACTTCAAAGATTGTCAACCAATCTCCTTACATTTCACAGTCATCGAAAAGAATGTTTATCAAGCTCACAAAAATTTTATTAACACAAATTTCAAATGCAATTTAAGCTTTTTGTCCAAGTGGTTGTGTCATTTTTGAGCAAGTGCGGTGCGTCTTTCTTAGTGGTTTTTGGACAGGGTTTCGAAAGGTACCTACAAAATCAAAAACCTGTGGAAAGCTATTTTTTGTGGTTCTTGTTTTCTCAATTTGTGCAGTTTTCTGTGGGGATGAGATTGATACTAATTTTTTATAGGATAGGTGGCTGGGAAATAGATCATTTTGCTCTTTGTTTACTTGTTTATTCCAGCACTTCACAATTGTTGCAGCTTTCCAATTTTTAGATTTTTTTTCCTTGTTAAAATAGTATTTTGATCCTTCATTTTAATGTTTATTCCAGCACTTCACAATTGTTGCAGCTTTCCAATTTTTAGATTTTTTTTCCTTGTTAAAATAGTATTTTGATCCTTCATTTTAATGTATGTACTTTGAAAATATTCATTTTAGTTCATGTATTTAAACTTTGATTTATTTTAGTTCCTATACTTTTAAAATATTCATTTTTTATCTTTGAACTAAAATAAACCAAAATTAAAAATACAGAGACCAAAACAAACATTTTAAAAGTATAGGGATGGACCAAACTAGTATTTTAACCTTACTTCAGACGTGGATAGAAAAGATCTTATTTTTCTACTTTTGTGACTACTTTATTTTACTTATTAATTATTTCATTCAGTATAAAATTAATAATCAAATTCGTTTTACTTAATTAATAATTGAACTAGTAACCTATTATATTCAATTTTAGGACGTCATTTAATAATTAATTAAACTCGAAACTATTTGTTGCATACTTATTGGAGTCTAGCTAATTTATCAATACACAAATATTAAAGATTCTCAAGAAGTAACCCCGAGTAAAATCAAATCAAAGTTTTAAAGAACCGAGTGTCCCTTAATCTTTTCAACTGAAATGCATTCCAAGAAAGTAGGAGAAACAAAATGGAAGGAAAACATTGCCAAGTTAAAGCAGTTCCACATGACAACACATGGCATGCGCGAAGTCGAAACAGGAGTAAATCTGAAGCTGAAAATTTGATTGGTTTTCCTGTGTTCTGGCCGGAAGTAGGCATCACAACTAGAATGTAAATGTATGACTCCCACCAACTGCAGCAGATCAGCTCGAGTAGTTTAACGTCTAATCGGAATCCTCGTATTCATTTCCATCGTCAGATAGCTCATCAAATGATCTAATGTCGAGCTGGTAGCGAAGAATGCCTCCAATTCCACCAAACCCTCTGCAGAATTGAGACCCCTCCTGGGATTTGTTGGTGACAAATTCAAGCGTGCAGCCGAATCTCTTGTACTCGTTCGCAAACCACTCCAGTAGGGGCATTTTCTCCTGAACCTCCAACTCAGCCGCGGTGGTCGCATCTCGGAAGTTGCTCTGATCAGCATCTTGTTCCTTGTTCAAATGCTTAACAACAATATCACCCGTCACACCATTTTTCAGTACATATCGGTTAATATCTAAATTTTCCCACACAATGAGGGTTTCCACAGCTCCCATTTCCAAAGCCTTCAAAGTATCATCCACCCCGAAGACATATTTTCCAGTATCCTGGCTGATTTCCTCAAAGTATTTACCAATCAGTCGCTTCTCCTGTATGAACTTCACATTTGATAGAATTTCTGATGAAAGCTCTATGGCCTGGTTGAATCCATTTTCTCCCCCATAAGAAACATCAACCACGTTCAATATTTTTGCTTGTAGACGGGGATCAAACATATCAGATTGGCTTAGCTCAGTCTTGAAGTCCGCTGAACCAGCAAGTATTAGCCCAGCAACATTAGGCTGACTGGTAGCAGGATTAATGAAGAACTGGGTGGCAAGTTCTGCAGTCTTCCTTACATAGTTGTGCCGCTTTTCCATCCTGAGACGAGCAAATCGAAGAGCTGATTGCCCACCCCTTCCATGCTTCTTTGGTAAATCAACTGAAAATTTATGAAGCACCTCCCTCGTGTTTCCACTTAATGTCCCAAAAAGTGTGCCATTTCCATCCATAACAATGAAACCAAATTTTTGATCGGATTCTAACAGTTCATTGAGAGCTTCAGTGTGGAACTTGTTATCACATAGGTACAGTGATGCATTTATAGGTTTGAAAGGTTCAAAATCAATTGTAACCTTCTTTTCCTTGCCATCTTCGGTAACAATAGTTCCTGTATAAAGAACTAATCCATTAGGAGGAACTTTATTATAAAGCTTCAGCCTTTGTTGAGCAGAAGTAATGGCACCCAAAACTGACTGGCGGTTGACCCTACTTTTGATGTTCGAAGCAGTTCCAAACTCATCACCGAGCATCTTGGTAACTCGTGATATTTGATCACGGGGAGGCATTATAAGAGATATCATGCTGGTACCATTGCCTCGTGCAGATTCCAATGCCTTGATAAGTTTCTTGATTTTCCATATCTCGATGTTCTTATCTGATTCTTGACCATCTGCCATTACAGAAGTAAAAACACAAAGGGAACAAAACTACACCTATACCCCCACCACGGGTTTCCACAGATGATCTTGGCAGATAATCCTGGGATTTCACAGATACACTGTTCATAATGAGCAGAGAATAGAACTGATAAAGGGAGAAAGACTATGCATGTATGATTAAAGCTACAAATATAATATTAAATTAATGTTCCCCTGATTTTCTTAAGAATGCAACAACTGAACTCAAAAAAGAAGAGTATGCAACAACTACTTTGAAAATATCAACATAGAATACAAACTACTTGCAGATATATTAATGCTTTCAGTGTTCAATAACCATTTCTTTTGTTGTTTCAACATCAGATGTGACAATATTCCAAAAAAATAAAATATACAAATAAGTGCATAATAAACTATTAGTGTGACAAAAAAAAAACTATAAGTAGTGAATAATGAGGTCAGTTTTAGAAGCATACAAATTCAAAGTATGGTCATACATGATTTTTGAAGCCGTTTACAAGACTTCGATCAAGTTTGAAATAGCTCCACCTTGAACAGGTGAATCAGCGTCAATATTAAGAATATAATAGGCAACAGTAGCAATTTTCCTTTGTTTAGATAGAGAAAAGAGATTGACATAGTTTCACAAACTTTCGAGAGGTTCTTCTTTCAACAATACACATAAGATGATGATGCCCCTCTTTTCTAACAATTGTGCCTTATATACTATTTACTACAAGTAACTACCTAGTAACTTCCTTCTAACTCCCTTGTAACAACCCATACATATCCATATATCCAAGTAACTTCCTTCTAACTCCCTTGAAACTCTCGCGTACCCTCCCTTTGATAAGTAGAATGGATTGGAGGAATGATTTGTCTATCAGAATATCAATAATAAAGTCGGGTCCGGTCAATGATAAGAACATCAAGAATAAGGTTGGTTCCAGTAATATCATGGATAGTTTATCTGAGAAGAATAAAGAATGAAACATTCGCAATACGAAGATGAAAGATGTTTAAGATCTATTTCAGCACACACTACATACAAAAAACAACTCGCACTCAACATTTTCATCGTTATAAGGCATAACAACACAGTCTTTCTATGCTGAATGGAGAGAACAAAACTCTACAATAGTCAATCCTGTTTTGAGTTATAACAAGTAGGTTCGGACTTCTAATATCCTGGTAAATTAAGTACTTGAATTATTATATATAAGCTGAGATGACAATACCAATCTGTATTTAAGCTTGCTAAAGATAACTTCTGTGACTCGCGTTTACGGATTGGGCTAAGAACTATAATTATACAGATTTGTAAGATTGTGTATAGAAAGCACCGAAAACACTGGGTATAGTAACAAAAGCCTAATCCTATTCGAAAACCTTTCTAATTTCTCATGAAATCCAGGAACGTCTTTCGTAATTCTGTAATTAATCTATATCTATACTTACAAAAAGCTAGAATCCAAACATCCAGCAATCCGGTCAATTAGAGATTACATCGGAACCAAGCCCTAAAATTACGCGTAGTAGTATTATAAACTAATAGTTACAAATCTAGAACACAGGCATCGTCCGCAAAAAGGGGCGGGAACAAGCGACGTACAAGAACTCAATACCATAGATGAACTACAAAAATTCGGTATTAGTCGTATTACCTTGCTGAAAATGAGAAGCGATAATGATTAACGGAAGCTCTCAGCGCTGCTAGGGTTCCTAAATTGGTCCAATCTTCAACAATGTGGAGATGGTTCTTCTGCCGTCTTCGTCGTGTCAATTTTAAAAATAATAATTTCTCACCGCAACCTTTCATTTCCTTTTTATTTTTTAATACAACAGTCGTAWTAGAATTTTTGACGGGGGAGAAATGTCTTAATCAATTGAATTTAATTTTTGTATCATTCATAATATTTACTTAATTTTTAGATTGGATGTTAAAATCTCTCCCGCCACATTTATTACATTTTTTAAAACTTTTTAATCATCAATTTGCCTATCAATTTGCCTATATTTTCTCGGTACAACAAACTAATTTAACTATGTCAATGGATAAATCTGTATTATTATTTTTAAAACTGAATCTCACCTCCCCATTATTAAATTAAAATGAAATATCTGGTGGTTGACTCAGTTAAAATTTATATACTTACTCATTAGATACTTGAATTCCACTCTATTATATATATTATCGAGTTAAAAAAATAATCATAATTTGAATCTAATTGAATAGAAATACATATTAGTTTTTGTTTCATCGTAAAGTGATCAAGCTTGGATGAGATGTATCAAAGTTCGAAGTATCGGTAAGACAGAATTAGCACTCCAACGAACAACAAAGTGATAATAGTTTCATGTACCTTACATGGGAGGTGGGGTCTCTATTTATAGAGATGAACTCCAAAAGGGTTTCGATAGCTCTCTAACGGTTCTCCAACATCCGGGGAAATGTAACGTGTTGTTGGAGAACATCCTTATTTTTTTCATGCCTGTGGGTGTTCTTCAAGGTCGACTCATACCTGGCACATGTCGATCAATTGGCAAAATATAGATCAATTCGACTACCATATCTCGAGCTATCGATACTTGTATCAATCCGAAAGTCTTGGTTTAATTTATTTATTATTATTATACATATAAAGTCTCCATAGATATTGACACATCCCAAACCATATAGCCTCCTATCATTTTCATTGAGGTTTCAACCTCACCCCAATATTTATACACTAAAAATGATAATGTAATTGGAATTGTGTTTAAGATTTTGACTATTATTTTATAATTTTCAATTCCATTTTCAGGATTATTGGTATAAATTTTATTTTAGATAGGAAAAAAATAGAGTGTTGGCAAACCTTTGTTCTATTATTAAATAAAATAAATAGAGGCTTTTGAATCAATATATATTGTCGTACTCCAATCCTCTTGTTTTTTTGCAAATTACAACCTCGTTTTCTTCAAAGTTGGCCACGAGCACCGTCGTATCATTTTGAATTCTAAGTATTACGAAAAAGTCTTGAGACAAATGATAAATTTCAAGAAATCTTTATTTATGGCTAGCAAAAATACAAGCCAAAGAATGATAAACTACGTTGAGAGAGAACTTCAAGTCCCTTTTACAATTCAACTATGATAATATCTAGGACTTCCTTCACAAGTTTCTAGAAACATATGTCTAAGTCTTTAGTTAAATTAAGTACAAAAATTTGGAAATGGTTGGACAGAGATGATTTTTTTAGAGGGGAAAGAAGTGAGCAATTCCAAATTAAGTTGTTTTAAACTTTCCTTAGACTTATGTAAGAGGGTTAATGCAATTTATGTTAAGTTTCAGTGGGGCTCAACTAAGGTAAGAAAAATTCATTGGCGTAGTTGGAAGAGACTTTATGGTCAAATAGAGTTGACAGATTTTAAAAAGCGCAGATATAGCTTGTTATGATTGCAAGAGACAAATACTTCAAAGTTGGAAACTTTATAAATGCCAAAATTGGAAATAAATCGTACTATGTTGGAGGAGTATTGAATGGGAGAATGAACTTTTTGCAAATGGGTATATATGGAGGATTAGAAATGGTCATAGTGTTACAATAGGAAAATATCCCTAACGAGAGAGTTATGTAGCTTGTATCCAAAGAGATCAGAGTGTTGGAACGAGGACTTGAGGAGAAGTTAAGGTCTAGTTTTGTTGATTTAGAGGCTGAACTAATTATGCAAATTTCCTTACAAGAGGTCGATTATAAGATTTTTTAGAGTCCAAATAATAAAAGGATTTTTTATTGTCGCAACGAATATAGATTTTGAAATTAGGGTTGATGCCTCTTATTATAATACGGAGTTCCAAAGAAAGAGACGAAATGAAAATCTAAAATTTGTTAATCAAATCCTCCAAAACAAGTCTGGTCTTAGTTGGGAGAAATCGGGAAGGAAGAATCATTATTATCGTTACCTACTTTGTCAAGGAAAAGAGAAATATCAAAACGTTGGAGGCAATATATTGAAAGGTCGAGGAAGATGTGAAATTATGATGTAAGCTTAATTCATATAGAAACTGATTTGTCCAACGGTGTAAAATTACTGCTTCACAAAAATGTGGATCTAATGGAAAGTTCTTGGGCCATGGGTGAAATTCAAACTGCGGTGAAGTCACTAATGTGGTCAACACAGCAAAGATTGGAGTCGAGATGCTAAAGAAATTGCTCATACAATTTCCCTTTTGCTTCATTTCCTCTGTAAAACAACAATAAATGATAACAGTGTGGCTCATTAGATAAATATAATATACTAACTCAACCATGTACAGTATACACTATGGGAGTGGGGACAATCTCACAATCAAACATTACTTTAACTCATACAACTATACTAATGACAAAATGATGATATTTTTCAA